TGTATGTGTATGTGTGTGTGTTTTTGGCACGTGCCTTTTGCCAGATCTCCATTCAGTGATTGTCCTGTTTGTGCCAGGTCCCAACAACAGTGTCATAGAGGGGAAAGATTGTTTTTTCTCACTCATCTCACTAAACTAATTTTTGTGTGTGCATTACCTCATGAATTTGTTTGTGTGTGTACTGGTATGTGTGGTTAGTGTCTTATGGGACGAGAAGTAACAGATGCTGTATTGTGTTGGTAATGGAGAAGGACCAACAGCACTGTCAGGTTTACTGTAACACAACTTGCGGATGTATTGATGGAAGGATGTTGAAAAGAGTAACAGAGGACATAAGACAATAGTTATTATCTCACAAATACCCCCCAAATCAAATAAAGGTTGTCCAGTACCTGTGAAGTAACACAGAACTACCACATGTCTCAGTATGTTTTGGGTTTTTTTATTCCATTATTCCATTGCATTTTCCAAGCTCAATTCCTACAAATTGCGCCTCATAATTTCCTCAACTGCCAGTTCACGACAGGGTATACATGCCTTTGAGTATTCCCAGCCGAAGTAGCTAAATAGAATATCTAATTTGTTTATTAGCTATTAGCCTTGAGTAAAATAAACTGAATTGATTTTTAGAACCTGGAGTCCTTAATGTAACCTCACACACTTATTGGCTTTGTGTTAAATTTTATCACAAATAAATGGCAAACAACACCCCCTAATTCTTATTAGGAAGAACATAAAATGGTTGTTTCTAGGCCGCAGTCCTCATTCATTATTTTCTACATAAGGAATTGTATATTGAACGCTGTAACAACATATAATCAGTCAGAAAAGAGAACACATTAGACACGGTTCAGAATATGCACCATGTATGATGAGTTGTTCATAGTTTTTACTAGCATATGTGCTTGTTACTTTTAGCCCACTAGATACTATAGATATAACCTTTTGTCATTAGAGAATTATTTTATCAAAAGTACTACAGTATACAAATGGTGAACCATATAATGTTCATTGAATAAGCAGCCACATATGCGATTTGTGACACTAAATGTAATAATTTTGCAAACCACAACCCGGACATAAAACAACTGATGTTTTGAGTTGTGTTTTCAGAAATCACCATCTGGATTTGATTTTGATGGCGTAGAAAATAAAGATAATAGCAAAGGAAGGAAGTAAAGAATACACTTGTAGGCAGATGAAAGATTAATAAAGTGAGAGACAAGCAATGATTTTGCTTAATGTTATGTTTGTCTTCGTCCAGGCTTCTACCTCTCTCCAGATCAGAGTATGTGTGCGGAGTGTGACTGCCATCCCATGGGAGCATCGCAGCGTGGTTGTGAGAGCCAGACCGGACAGTGTGTGTGTGCCCATCCGTCAGTGGGAGGACGGCGCTGTGACCAGTGTCGTGAGATGTTCTTCGGATTCAACCCTGGCCTGGGCAGGTAACCCACATAAAAATCACACACGCGCACACACACACAGATGAACATCATATCTGTCGCTTGAACATCCTGGAAAGCTTTTATCCATTAATTGCACCACCTGCACACACACACACACACACACACACACACACACCAGCTGCACGTATAAGCGCGCGCACGCACACACACACACACACCAGCAGGTGCAGTCTCTGTAAAGACAGTTTACAGATTGGTTGGCAGACATATGACTTACATGAGTTAAGAGCTGCTTTGACCTTTACCGCTCATGTCTCTACCTGCAGGCTATCTCTCACACACAGTCACACACACACAACTTAAAACACACGTACACAAATGTAACTGTACAAGTTACATCCTGTGCAATACTGGTACGCACACATGGATATGTTCCTCTCAACAGGGTGTCAAAGCAGATAGATGATCCACAAACTGTTTGACTAGTGGTCCACTGTGTGTGTGTGTCTGTCTCTGTGTGTGTGTGTGTGTGTGTGTGTGTTAGCTGACCTTGCCTGATAGCTGTATTCCCCAGTGTTCAGGCTGTGGCTGAGATCTCCTCACAGCAGAGAGGGATGGAATGATGGAAAAAGGGAGAGAAAACAACAGAGTGATGAAGAGTTAACTTTACAAAGAGATTAAGGAAAGGAAGCACTGGGAAGAAAATAAAGTGAATAATTAAATTATTAAAGAAGAGCCGTGATGAGGTAGATGTTAAAACAGAAAAAGAGAAAGATAAAGAAAAATGGTCAAAGGCATAGATCTTGTAAAAGGCAAGCATTAACTTATAGTTTGTACCCAGGCAGTGAGTTTGTACCTCTGTCTCTCTCTCTCTCTGTCTTCCTTTCTTAGCTTTTTCCTGTTTTATTTCCTTTTTTGTTAAGTAGAAATGACAAATAAAGTCTTTAAAGGTTATTACTGCTGAATGCCTTTCTTGTTCCCAGAGTCGCTCCATAATAAGGATTTCTTCATCTAAATGTCATCAAGTAATTTATCCTCCGCCTTCAATCAATAGGCTTTACACAAATGAATTTACACACACAAATTGATGTGTGAGCAGTTGGCTGAAGATGTAGTTCTGTGTCTCTATGTGTCTCCATGGAGAACCGGGTCAGAGAACTGCTGACCGTCAGCCCCTTCATCACAGGGAAATATGATGGTAATTCTGTCTGGAGGGATTAAGTATTGGCACATACACACATCATTTTATTATAAGATTACATACGTAATATTTGAATACACTAAAACCTACAATAATACACCATTTGTGTTACTGGGACCTAAACATCTTTGAATTCCACTGTCACTGTTACTATGTCACTGTTAAATGCTTGTTTATATTGGCATCTCACTAAATACACACAAATTACTCTCTTTCACACACACACACACACACACACACACACACTGTACTTTGAGCCTGGTGAAAAAGGAGAGAATGGATGTGATGTTGGTGTTTTCTTTCTCCTTGGGAATGGAGTGAAGGTCGAGTCACTATGGCATTTGTGTGTATGTGTGTATTTGTACCTGTGTGTTTTTGAGTGTTGGTGTCTGTGTGCGTGTGTGAGCACCAGTTGACAGGACAAATTTGCGGCTCGTTAAGAGGCTGTGGCTTTTCACACAGCAATAAAGAAGGGTGTAGCGGTGTGTGTGTGTGTAAGAGAGCATGTGAGTACAGTTTGTGTAAGAAAGAAAAACACACATGGATAGTGTGTGTGTGTGTGTGTAGGTGTGTGTGTGTGTGTGTGTGACAGTAATAGGGTTTATACAGTGTTATTTTCTATGTCAGTGTAGTGTGTGTGTGTGTGTGTGTGTGTGAGCCAAACATCTTCTAACAAACAGATTTTGTTCCACATGCGACCGTGTGTGTGTGTGTGTGTGTGTGTGTGTAAAGGTGTGAGGTGGCTGGCCGGAT